TGTTATTCATCATTTTATTAGGATAGTTTGTAGAATTTAGTGATACTATTTATCAGTGTCCTATTAAACAAATACTAGAATTTAGTGATACATTTTATTAGGATAGTTTCCGTATATGTGTATGGTCAATGAAGCTTTGTTGAACTGTTCTGTTTTGTCTCCTGATCATGATTGAAGGACTCTGAAGGGATATCAGAGTCACAAAGGGAATTGAAGGATCTAAAAGAACAACTGAGTGATTCATTTCCTGTTGGCCCTTTAATAAAGAAATGTTGTACGTTGGACCAGGTAGACATCTTTTCTCTTATTTGTATTAGTTCTAAATTCTGGGTCACATGGTTTACTACTAATATGACTCATAGGTTAAGTTGGTAAATGTTTGAGCAGGGAAATGCTGTTGCTACATTTCTGGATACAATCTTGGACAAGACACTCCGAAGTACTGTTGCCTTGCTAGCTGCTCGTGGCCGTGGGAAATCAGCTGCACTTGGTTTGGCAATTGCTGGAGCTATTGCTGCAGGGTAGTATGCCTTCACAATTTATTTGAATTGTTTGTTTGTGTGTATGTGTAGGTGTACACTTACATGCATGTACTATTGTAATTTATTTTATGTAAATGTGGCTGATTGTTGTTAGATTTTGACGAGACAAATATATCTTCACAGGTATTCAAATATCTTTGTAACTGCACCCAGCCCCGAGAACTTAAAAACTCTGTTCGAATTTGTTTGCAAGGGTTTTGATGCACTGGAATATAAGGTACGTATGCGAGGTATTCCCGTGTGACTGGTTGTGATTTATTCTATTGCAGTCTGCCAGAAATCTTATTCTCATTATAAAAAAATAAAAAAAAGCACTTACTTGACCGCATCCTTGACGATTCTGTTATTTCTTTCCATGCGATCCAATGATATGCCATACATTGCCAAAGCCCCTTTTTGGCAGGTAGCCCCTCGACGGGGTGGATTTGGCAAATAGCCTCCCGATGGGGACGGTATTCCCCGAAAATTCTTACCGGGTATGGGGGCAGGGATGGGGATGGTATTGCCATACCTGGCCCCTCAGTTTGAGAGGCCGATACAAAAACATATGGTCAATGCTCTCTGATTTACCTTTGCATAGAATACACCAATGTGGAGATAAACAAGGATAGTCTTCTTTTTTTGGATTATATGACAAGTATTAGTTTTCCTATCAATCATTACCTAGAAAAATCTACACTTTTATAGGTACACTAGCTCAAACATGTGATCAGTCCAATGCTCTAACAAAGAATGAATTTTCTAAAGAGTAGATTGATAATAAATTGTTGATTCTTCACCTCCATTAGTGTAGTTAAGATTTAACTACGCTGGAAAATGTCTAGTTACCAAGCATGGTGGTGTTTGAAAGTTTTTTTTTTTTGTGAACTACATTTTAGCTTTCATCCATTTCTTATAAGATCATTCCTATTCTTATTCTTCATTTCTCAATCGTTTACACTAGTTATGTTGAGCTTACTACTGTAACCTATGTTTGCAGGAACATATAGATTATGATGTACAGAAAAGCAGTGACCCTTTGTTGAAGAAAGCAACTGTACAGATCAATATATACAAGCAGCATAGACAAACAATTCAGGTAGAATGATATGGAAAGTTCGGTTTTATTGTAATATCTGTGTGTGCATATTGTGGGTTGAGAATAATTCGTATGACTATTGGCACATGCAGAAGATTGTATTCAGTGGATACACAATATGGGTTAACTTTTTATCTGTGCCCACCTTTGTAATAAAAGTATTTGTTAAAATGAATGAATAATAAAATTTCAGGGTATAATCTGTTTCCTATGTATAAGTTATAGATGGTCTAGTTGGAAGTGTATATTTAACTTATAATGAGTACCAATGCTACTGTCTTCCATTTCTTTTTGGATAATTCCATACTGTCAAAGGTTCTAGTTTGTCTATTTCACAGTATTATCCTAGTTCATCCTGAAGCCAGTCACCTTCTATTATTAGTTCTCTTTTCTTCCAACAATCCTTGGGTTTTCATGCAACCTGGCTTAGATCAGTCCAGTTCTGCATAGCAAGGAGTTTGCTCAGGCAGTTGAACTTGATGGAAAGAGTAAGGAATTATTCATTATACTTTGTAAGGCGGGTGTGGCAAGGTGAGGAAAGAGGGAAGGAAGTTGCTTTGGCAGAATTGGTCATGTGCCTTGAAAACATAATTGCCGAGGTAGTAGTAGGGAACATTCCTTCATAGGATAGGCCTCATCACTAATAGGCATAAATGTGTACACCTTTTGCCCATCAATGTGTTTCATTTATGTGTGCTTCATTTTGCTTATTGGTGTGAGTATATTGAACCAATTTAAATGGTTTATAATATATAAAGCTTGCTTTTTAAAAGCATGTTCTTGATGGATTAGTCAACCATTATACCTCTTGTGGCCCAAAGAAAAGATTCTATCTACTGTTTGCTTATGGGGCTAGATGTTTTTTGTTACTTCTCGTTGCAGTATATACGACCACATGAGCATGAAAAGCTTTCCCAAGTTGAACTGTTGGTTGTTGATGAAGCAGCAGCTATTCCACTACCAGTGGTGAAGTCTTTGCTCGGTCCTTATCTGGTCTTCCTTTCATCTACTGTTAATGGGTAAGATTTGTCCATGGTCTTCTTCCATCATATCGTGTAGTTTATGTTTCAATGATTTCATGGAAGACTTTCAATTTCTGCATATCGTTTCCACTTTTCCTTTATTCATTCTTGATGTTGTCTTCCAATTTACAAAAATATTTTGCCAAAAATATCTGACTGCAATTTAAATACTGAAGCACATTTCTTTGATTCTGAAAGCTATGAAGGTACTGGTCGGTCTTTGTCCCTAAAACTTCTACAGCAATTGGAAGAGCAAAGCCAGATGTCTGCTAAAGGCCCTATATCTGGTATGCTTATCCTTCACTAACCAGTTTTTTCCCTCCTTTTGGCTTATATCTAAAATGGGTTGGATCAAAATCCCCCTTCCCCCATCATATTTTGACCTTATCTTTAACTTCCAATGTCATCCCTCAATTTATAACTTGCACAATATTACCTCTTCAATTGTGACGGGTTAACAAATTAGAATTTGTGGGTTAATAAACTAAGGTTACTGTTTTCCTCTCACTCTTGCATTTCTTGGCGAAGCAAAAGTTGGTTTTATGCATATCAAAGCAAGGGAAAATATAAACATCACAAGTATTGCTTGGTGAAGCACAAAGTGTTTTAAAATCACTGACATCTTTTTGTGGTTAATTCAACTCGTAAGTAAAATGACCATATTCTTCTGCTCGTCTACATTGATTGCTTTTCCTTAGCACTTAATTGTCAGAGTTCTACTTTAGGTGACAGGGCAAAAGTAAAATTTAGTTAGGAATAACATACAACAAACCTGATTCAGTCAAATCAAGGGTATGTACAACACCCCAAGTCGGTTACACTTGTTGAGTCCAGATTATGAGAAACTAGATAACTTGCTTATGTTATTTATGATAATAAAAATTCGTTACCATTTCTTAAGATGTAATAATAGAGTGCTGGATTTGTCTACAATTTGTAGTCAGAATTTTTATATAACGAAGCTTAAAGGTTGTGAGCTTCTTTTATACCTTTTATGTTAATGTTATGAATTTAACTTCCCCTTTATTAATTTGATTTTGTTTTTTAAGTTCTTTTACGGAGTTTCAAGACAGCCCTCTGCTTCAATCGGGTGTGATGCTGTTCTGGTCTCCTTTGGACATAACATCTGGTTTTGTTCTTTTTGTCAGGGTTTTTTTCCTTTTCTTTTTCTAAATAAAACTGACTACGTACAAACAAAATTTGTCCTCCTTGGATGATTTCCTTTACATTCTTCACTTTTTTGTATATTCTAAGCTTTAGGAGCCTTTTTGTGGCACTCTATTTTACTTTCTATAAACTCCTGCTTGCTTATTTCTTTTTGTGTTAAATTTGCTAAAGTTCTTTATTACTTTCTATAAACTCCTGCTTGCTTATTTCTTTTTGTGTTAAATTTGCTAAAGTTCTTTAGATTGGTGGAGGCCTGTTTTTCTATATTCTTTGAAACATTGGCATCTGAATAAGCATGTATGTCTGGACATCGTGTGGTCATAAGCTGCCTTCTATGTAACGTTAGACTCTGACATACTCAACTCACTCAATTTTTTAAGTCTACACAATTGGTAATATTCTTGTTTCTGAAATAATGGAATTGTTGACTCTTGCAAGCGAGCAATGTAATCTAATATTTTATCTGTTGTAATATTTGGACATAACATTCTGAACTGATAAATGTGCTTGATTGTAGGTCGGCTTTTCAAAAAGATTGAATTGAAAGAATCTATCAGATATGCTTCCGGTGATCCAATTGAATCCTGGCTTCATGGTTTACTTTGCTTGGATATTACAAATTACATCCCTAAACTTAACGGGTAAAAACAACTATGCCTAGAACTTTAGAACTGAGGAAGATGAAACCATCTACATTATTTCTATTATCTTCATTAATGACCTCTCTCTCTCTCTTGATGACCAGGTTACCTGCACCCAGTGAGTGTGATCTGTACTATGTCAACCGTGATACACTTTTTTCGTATCATAAAGATAGCGAGTTGTTCTTACAGGTAACTACATATTCAAATTCTGTTGACCATTAATTTTCAGTTTTGATATTAATGATTCTTACATACTGCACACTTCCAGCGAATGATGGCACTGTATGTTGCCTCTCATTACAAAAATTCTCCAAATGATTTGCAACTAATGGCTGATGCTCCAGCTCACCACTTGTTCGTGCTACTTGGTATGTTTGCTTCCTTTTGAACTGGTTTTCCTTCCTTTGCTGCTATTGGCTGGACTTGATTTTACTTTTTGTGTGCAGGTCCTGTTGATGAGTCAAAAAATCAGCTTCCTGATATTTTGTGCGTCATTCAGGTTTGCATCTGTTTTCCTTTCATGGTGAACTAATATTTTGTTAGTGCTTTTATTATGTACTGATGGTTTTTTTCTTCAAGTTTACCCTATTGTGAAATGAGAATAAAGGACACAATACTTTAAACTTGTACCTTCTATGCAAGTGTTTTCTTCTGGGGTTCATCCGAAATGAATGTTTTTTGGTATTGTGTCCCATTTGTGCTTCAACCTTGTGTTCAAAATGGGAATTTTTTTCCATATTTACAGAGTAGGGTTTTGGTCTGCACTATAAGCTTCTGTATCCAAAGTTAGCGGTTTGTCTTTCTGAAATATCCGGCTAGATTGGCAAGCTGCTATTTGTTAATTCTGCTTTTGGGAGTCGTTTTGGGTGGCTGGACTTGATTTTACTTTTTGTGTGCAGGTCCTGTTGATGAGTCAAAAAATCAGCTTCCTGATATTTTGTGCGTCATTCAGGTTTGCATCTGTTTTCCTTTCATGGTGAACTAATATTTTGTTAGTGCTTTTATTATGTACTGATGGTTTTTTTCTTCAAGTTTACCCTATTGTGAAATGAGAATAAAGGACACAATACTTTAAACTTGTACCTTCTATGCAAGTGTTTTCTTCTGGGGTTCATCCGAAATGAATGTTTTTTGGTATTGTGTCCCATTTGTGCTTCAACCTTGTGTTCAAAATGGGAATTTTTTTCCATATTTACAGAGTAGGGTTTTTGTCTGCACTATAAGCTTCTGTATCCAAAGTTAGCGGTTCGTCTTTCTGAAATATCCGGCTAGATTGGCAAGCTGCTATTTGTTAATTCTGCTTTTGGGAGTCGTTTTGGTTCTGCTGAACCCCTGTTTTCATTTTCTTTTTAGCTTTTTTGGATTTATATTCTTGACCACTTCTGTTCTCTGTAGTTTTATTGTTCTTTAGCAATAAATTTGTCTCGTTTCCAGGAAAAGAAAAAAAAAGAAAGAAAAAATAAAAAAAATTCCGTGGTTCTGTTAGGTTTGGAAACCTTTTTGCCCATAAATATTTCATGGATCGTGAATTGCAATCTATCCACCTAGTCCCCAAACTTCAGCCATGGCTCCATGGGAAAAACGAGTTGCCAAATATTACTAGGATGAGGCCTATCATACCAAAGCTAACAGAATTCCTAGTATCCCAAATTTGCCAACATAGCTTAATCATTTTCTTATTACCATGAGACTGAGATCCATCTCTCAGTTGAGGATGGCTCTTTCCGAAAGCTGGGTAGTTGAAACTCTGTCCAAGATGCCTGTTTTTATTGTCATATCATACATCTGAACTTTAAAAGTCTAATTATCTTAATATCATAGGGAACAATTATGATTTTCAAATTCTTTTTGTATCTTATGATGCAGATTTAGTCGTAGGTTACGTTTTAAGTTTTGTTGATATTAGTGATGCAGACTGATGGAAATCATAATTTTAGGGATTTTCTTGAGGTATTTGATGTGATTAATGGTAATGATGGGAATTGAGTTGATTAGGGATTTTCTTAGGAATTTGATTTGACTTGTGAGTCAAGGAGCTCTATAAGCTAGACATGGTGCAACTCCTTTGACAAACCTGAAATAGAAAATAATGAAACCCTATTCTCCTACTTCTCCCTACTCATCTTTCTCTCTTCTTTCTATTGCACTGTTTCAATTAGTGTCAATATTTAGCTGTTTTCCCTTATATCAAGGCGTAGACTACCACCGAAAGGGTTTTTAGCTGTCCCTATAGTAAGAGAACTCAATTCTTTGATGCTCTAAATTTATGTGCCATCCTTTTGTTCTTAGGTCTGCCTTGAGGGACAGATTTCTCGTAATTCTGCAAAGAAAAGTTTAAGCAGTACAAGAAACAAGAAATGTGGGAAAAATTCTAGTGATACCTGTGGTATGACTCATGTGCTATGTGGGAGACATTCTGCTGCTCTTGTTGGGGGCACAGATACACAGAACTTCTGGTGTGATATGCGGGAGATATTCTACTGCCATTGTAGCAGTGGAACTCATAAGTACTTATTATTGAGATAAAAGTCTCTATGAGATAATTTGAGTGAATCTACTAAGGTTATTTCGCCTCAGGTACTATGAAGGACAGTTTGCTCCTATTTCTGAAGTGGATGTTGAAGATGTTGTTGAGACGGTGCCTGTCAGAGTCACAGAAGCTGCCGAGAAGGTTTATTATAATTACTAAGCTTAGTTTTCTTTGGTTATTTTTTCTTTTTAATCAACAGGCTGGAAAATGTTATGTGGAGACTGTTCTATAATTAAAAATTAGAATGTTGAAGTGCCATTGGGAAGATGACCTCCTTTTAAGGAGAGTAGAAGACAGATTTCCCACCTTGGTTATACCTCATTTCTATGTCATATGTTCATTGCACTCTTGTACTGTGTGCTATGTGTGCCATAATAATATAACAATAACGTCCTATAATTGTGTAAACAAAAATGAACTCCAATAATTTGCTAACTGATAATCAATGTGGGTGGGCTAGGGTGTGCCATTCAGAAGTTATTCATAGAGCTAAGTTTTTACACTGTAATAATTAATAATATATTTATCAACATGCCATATTTTATTAATTTAAATTTGACTTGTTTTTTTTTGCCCTTTATAAATATATGAATCTGTCATTTTTGCAAACAAATCAGAACTCTCTGAAGTTGCTGTGCTCGTTATTGGGTTTGGTTCCTTTCATTCATCATCAATTTATCTTCTTCCCCTTTAAGTTTGAACTTTCAACCTCCACACACCCTCCAACACACAAACACACTCTTTTATTGAATTACAGAAAACTATATTGGAGAAAGTTTTTTAAGTCACTGTTTGGTGCTGAATGCAATTCTTGTTCTGTCAAAATATTTGATTTGGTCAAACTTGGTTTTGTGTGGTATGAAAATTTTGTTGTTTGAATATAAAAGTCTGAACAAACTTTTGTGAATCATTGCTTCTCATTTAAAATTTGAGCAAAGTGACATTAATTACTCCATGGCTGTCAGAGATTATTACGTAATGGTTTGTTTATTTGGTTCAATAAACCTGTCACCTGTACTTACCTTTGATACTTTTTAGTGGAATCATACCTCTGTCATATTTTACTTGTAGGTTTCATTACTGGAAGAAAGTATAAAACCTAGAACAGATCTTCCTCATTTGCTCGTTCATCTCCGTGAAAGGCGACCAGAGAAGCTCCATTATATTGGTGTCTCCTTTGGGCTTACCTTAGACCTTTTCCGCTTTTGGTGGAAACATAAATTTGTTCCCTTCTATATTGGACATATTCCAGTTAAGATGGATTTTTCCTCCCAGATTGAATGTTTTGAATATTGTACTTTGTTGATGAATGATTGATTAAACAGTAATTTGACATTTTTCTTTTCAATGGATTAGAGTGCTGTAACTGGTGAGCATACATGTATGGTCCTGAAATCTTTGAAGAATGATGAACTTGAAGTTAACGATTTTCGTCCGTTCTACCAAGGTGGGCCCATTTTTTCTCAGAACCTATTTCTCTACTTGGACTTTTATGCAGGTTTTGTATCCTTTCACCTCACAGCTTGATACTTTGTTGGCTACCCTAGATTTCAGGCGAAGGTTTTTGAGACTACTGGGTTATAGTTTTCGTACAACGGATTATAGGCTCGCGATGAGGTACCATCACATGTTTCCTTCTGATAATTGTTTTTTTGTTCAAGTGCTCATACTACTCGTAATCTTTCAGCATCATAGATCCTAAGATCAATTTCACAGAGCAAGAACCCAAGTTGCCTACCGTAGATGGGTTCTTAAGGTCAATCACAGATATATTGTCACCTCATGATATGAAGCGACTTGGAGCTTACACCAGCAATCTTGCTGACTTTCATATGGTAAGCTCTCTGAACAATGGTTGATGGCCACTGTCGTAGTGCTATGTACTGTCTATGAGGATCTTTAATTCTCATTTTTTGCGGCTGGTTTTTTTTCCTGTGCGCTTGTGTTATATAAGATGATAAAATAATTGTTTAAACGACAAAATCGATAAGGGTGAGGCTATTTAGACACCTTATTTTCTCTTCTGCCCCAACCAAACTCCCCCTCCCAAACCCAACCCATCCTACCAATGGTGAACCTTCTTGTGGGTGTGCGGTGCTCCTCTGAGGGAGGTGGACCTCTCTCTTTTGCAACTCTTAGGGAGGCGCTGCCATGGCTGCCCTCTTCTTTAGTTTTAAAATTATAAAAAATCGTAAAAATAGTTTGTGGAAATAAAATAGTTATGAAGGACAAAATTTCAGTTTCATCAACAAACCTTTTTTTGGGGCAACTGAACAAATAGAGGGACGCCATAAAATAGAACACCCAACTGAAAATGGGAATTTAAGATTTCTTCCACCATAAGCAATGAAAAATCCCAGTATTTGCTTCTTTCTTGTTTTTTATTTTTGGGAAAAAAAAAACAGCCTCCTTTGAATGTGTCAAGATGGTCCTCCTCTATCTAGGAAGCACAGACATATATAGTAGGGAGGGAGGGATCTGAGGATTTATTGAATTTTCATCCATGACAAATAGGCCCTACTTTCAGAATATAATCCCTGTGGTCCATTTGGAAATTATAATAATACATCAATGCAGTATATTTCACCATTGGGACTCACATTTAACTGGAACACTGAAACCTCTTGTACTGTAATTAATTGTTTGTTTATACAGATGTCTAACATACTTTTTGTTTTACAGATTTTGGATCTTGTTTCAACCCTTTCGCATCTGTATTTCCAAGAGAAACTTCCAGTAACATTGTCATATGCCCAGGCTTCCATATTGCTCTGCATTGGCTTACAAAATCAAGATATCTCCTATATTGAGGTTTGTTTGACTTGCTCATCTTGTGGTTGTGACCATGCATGCAAACTCAAATATGTGCCGTTTAAATATGATGATTTGTACCCACCACCCCCCTAAAGAACAACAAAAGAGATGGCTGATGGTGAAGGGTTTACTGCCGTAGTAATCAAAGTACATATTCCAAGAATCTTCTTTCTTCTTCACATTGGCTTCCAACATGTACTTTAATCAGTTGTCTTTTGTATTAAGTGCATTTACTATGCAGTTTCACAGCTTGTTTCTTGTGTTTCCAAGTTTGAGGCTCAAATGCTCCTAGTTTTAGTATGTAAAAGACTATCAGGTCTCATTTTCACTTACATTCACGTTTTACAGGGGCTGATGAAATTGGATCGGCAGCAAATATTGTCTCTGTTTATAAAAGTTATGAAGAAGTTTCACAAATATCTATACGCTATTGCATCCGAGGAGATTGAGTCAACCTTGCCTAGACCAAAAGAAGTAAGTTGAGCAAAGCAGTTTACTTTTTTAAGTATGGAAAATACGTGTTATGTTGATAGTTTCTCTCTCCTATTTCATGGCATATTATACGTTATGGTTCTAGTAGGCTTAACTCTGATATTCACACAGGCACATACAACCATCATGCCATCTGCATAGTTTGTACCTTAGCTATTTTGTTCGATATGCAATCATTAAGTTTACATTATCGTATTTATTTGCCTACTATCTTCTCCTCCAGACATTTTTTTTAATCATATAGTCCAAAGTTTGAAAGTTCCAACATCTCAAGCTGTCCCTTGAAAAAAAAAAATATAGATGTATCACATTGATTATGCACTATAGCATTTGAATCTAGAGAAGCTGTTTGCATGGGAAGTTATCTATAAAAATATTTTAAGGTAATAAAAGTTGTTTTATATACCACATAACTAGGATTTAGTCAGGCTGAAGCTCAAGTATATATCCTTTTTTCAATCTTTTGTTTATGTTCTAACATCAAATTCTGTCATGTGGAAATTTTGGGTTCAGACTGTCTTGGAACCTCACAAAATCTCTGTCAACGATGATCTGAATGAGGCTGCAAGGAAAGTTGAGGTATGCTTCATTCCTCTTACCTTCCCTGTTACCCTAAACTATCTTTCTCACTCCCTTGTGCTGATATCCAAGAGTCGAGCTGACTTGACTACTTACATACAGGATGGGATGAGATCCAACATGGATGGGTTAAATCCTGAGTTGCTTCAACAGTATGCGATTGGGGACAGAGATGCAGAACTTGAGAATGCATTGCAGAATGGTGGTGTAAAGTTACCAGCTGGAGGTGTTGTTAGTGTGAAATCAAGTAGAAATAAAATGGAGGAGAAAGGAAAACAGAAATCGAGTCATAATAGCGGGGAAAAGCGGCGTAAACATGAGCATGGCTCCAACTCCAAGTCCAACAAAAAGAAGAAATATTCACAATAGTCTCTACTCTTTTTGTAACGTTTTTTTACATTTAGACATGAGCATGGCTCCAACTCCAAGTCCAACAAAAAGAAGAAATATTCACAATAGTCTCTACTCTTTTTGTAACGTTTTTTTTACATTTAGGACGATGTTATAAATTACCAGTCACATCATATGCAGATCACAAATTTTGACAGTAAATGACATGGATTTTGTTATTTGCAGACTGGTTGTTTATAATTCTCACTGCAATTCACACAAGTCTAAAACCGCTTAATAAAGACATCATCTTACTACAAAATTACAAGAGCAACAGCACAATTAAAAATTTATTAAGGCTACTTTTCTTTAGATGATTGCAATATTTTATTTTGAAGTTTATTCTAAACAGCGTCCTCGAAATTTTGAAAGCCAGGCCCAACCAAATTATAAAGTCGATCAATTTTAGCACCACCCACTCTCCTTCCCAAACTTCCCTGCCAGTTTTTGTTTTCCGAACAGAAGCAGTACTTGCCGACCACCGTCTCTTCACGTGCATGGCACGTATTCTCGCAATCTCTCATTTAAGCTTCCTAGCGATTCTCTCCTCTTCATCTCTATCTTTGGCAGGTGTTCATTCTCTTGGTCAGAGACCATGTCCTGTCGCTTGGCATCACGTTCCTAATGGTGGCAATGGCGATGCTGCTGCTCTCTCTTAACTCGCAGTAAATCATCAAACATTTTCCTGGCCTTGTCATCCTTAAGTATATCGTAGGATAACTTAAAGACTTTGGAAGTTAGCATGAGCATGGGAATCATGTGGCCTCTTATCTGGGAGCAACTCTAGAGCCTTTATAATCATAATGCTATGTGGACTTGGACTATTACCAGGAGGACTTGATAGATTCGGAGAAAAATTTGCCTTATCCAAGATTAAATTTTATTTTATTAATTTTTTTTGGTACAAACTCCATAGGATTAAATTCAATCAATGAAACAATGGAACAAATGTCGCATGCAAATTATAAAGTCGATCAATTTTAGCACCATCCACTCTCCTTCCCGAACTTCCCTGCCAGTATTTGTTTTCGGAACAGAAGCAGTACTTGCCGACCACCGTCTCTTCACGTGCATGGCACGTATTCTCGCTGATTCTTGCAATCTCTCATTTAAGCTTCCTAGCGATTCTCTCCTCTTCATCTCTATCTTTGGCAGGTGCTCATTCTCTTGGTCAGAGACCATGTCCTGTCGCTTGGCATCACGTTCCTAATGGTGACAATGGCGATGCTGCTGCTCTCTCTTAACTCGCAGTAAATCATCAAACATTTTCCTGGCCTTGTCATCCTTAAGTATCTCGTAGGATAACTTGAAGACTTTGGAAGTTAGCAACATGAGCATGGGGATCATGTGGCCTCTTATCTGGGAGCAACTCTAGAGATATGTGGACTAGGAAGTTGTGTAATTATAATCATAATGCTATGTGGACTGGGACTATTATATTACCAGTAGGACTTGATAGATTCGGAGAAAAATTTGCCTTAACCAGGATTAAATTTTATTTTATTAATATTTTTGGGACAAACTCCATAGGATTAAATTCAATCAATGAAACAAAGGAAAAAATGTCGCATGTTTTAGTGATTACATATTTGCTTTTATGAATTAGTGTTTAAATTCATTTACCAAAAAAAAATTTCATGCAGTTTCATATTTTAGCTTGAGGACTACAAGTTGATGTACACTGGCAGCACAGTTGCATAAAATATAACAAGAGGAGGTTTATAAATTCAATCACTTTTTATGTAGTGAAAGTAACTCTCAGTGATAACAGGCACCCAGTTCTCACCTGGCAATGTATAAGTAAATCCAAAAAATATAAAAGAGCGCATAATCTTGATCGATTGGCACAATTGCACTCCAAACCAATAGGGCCTTATTAAAACAGGAGGGCTATTCCCATACCCTAGAAAGTCATCAGCTTCCAGATTCTACCAACATTTGGTTGATTTCAAAACAAGCCAGTGAAGGTAAATCCCGGATCATTAGATGAAGTTTCGGATGTCCAAAGACTTCACATCAACCATTTCCTCATCTTTGAATTCCTCCCTGAGAAACATTGAAATGGAAAGTACGTGTCAGTCCTGTAAACCAATGCCAATTTATCAAAAGCCAAAGCAAGTCCTCTACCCCTGTGGCATCTAACCTATGTTCCATTTTAAGCAAAATACCTTGAACTAGAGTGAATAGTAATAAAGACTGAAATATATAGCCATGCTAATGCTAGAATGGAAGCAAATTTTACCAGACACCAACTGTTCTCAACAGAAAAACCAACTTGAATCCCAAATGAAGCTCAATGGTTTAGTGAAACAGAGAAACAAACATGTTGATAAAAGAGGAGGTACTACGCAAAGACATAAATTACCGTTTCTTTTGAGTTTCCATCGCCTCAAGAGCATCCTTCTTAAGTTCCTCCAGCTGTGCTTTCGCTTTCTTGAGTTCTAGCTGTTCTTCATACTTTGGTAGATCCTCCTTCCGAATTCCAAGCCTGAAAAAAAGAGGTTAGACTTGGTAGGAATCCTGTATCTCACATCAGCTATGCAAGCAAACAATACACAAGCGTTCAAAATAAAACAACCGCAAACCAATCAGTGCCAAATAGGAAAAACCATAGCAAGTGTTTTAACCTATTATACCACACTAGTACTGGCAAAGTTATTATTAGACTATGGGGTCTGGGATTAGGTGCAGCCACAACTAGATATCATTTGGCAATGCATTTTACAGCCCCAAATCCATATAATCTTCAGGACCGGGCAATACATTTCAATATAGAATATAAAGAAAAAAAAGGAATTTTCATCTAGCATATACAATTTGTTTCATAGGAGAGTTCAGAATAAACTACATAAAAAAGCTGAACGTGTATGCAAGTAGAATGAAGGTTAATCGGGATTAACAACACCTTCTCTACATTCAAAACCTTATAAAATAAAAAATGTTCAAACCAATTGTCACCTACTTCTTGTTTATTTTCTCAAATTCTGCCTGGAGAAGAGCCATCCCTTTCTTATCATTCCTCAAAAGAGGTTTCTTCAGTTCGTTTTCAACTTTCTCCAATGCATCCATCATCATAGCCTCTGCACCAAGTTCATCAGTGATACCTCTCCTACAAAGGGTAAGAAATAAGTTAATTGACCAATGTAGTTGTATGTACAAAAATGTTAAAGTACGAATGTCTGCAAGGCAGACATATGTGTGGATAGAAAAACCCTAAATGACAATTTAATATTAGAAGTTTCCAAACAGATTTTGTTCTTTTATATGAAACAAAATGTATTAATTCCTCAAACAAGGTACAAAGTGGACAAGGTATACACCTACAAACAAGAATCTGTCTTGCATATAATTCTACCAAAACACTACCAGCATACGGAACCAGATTTTAACTCTTTTGCTTCTTCCCCACCAAAGTACTCATAAGAATTGCCAGTATACCACATCCCTCCAACACTTTAACTTTCTTCCCTACCCGAAAGACTTCTGACTCTCCCTTAACCATGACTTACATCCTGCTTGGATCACCCAGCTATATTTCCCTGTTTGCATAGCTTCAACACAAATTGAAGTATTTGTGTTGAAGCTATGCAGAATGATGAAGAAATAACGGAATAAACTTTCAGCTCTGCACAAAACACATCAATGAGGTGACAGACAAGATTGTGGTAGACTTCACCTTTGAATCCTACCAAATGTATTCACCTAGCCATTATAACCTGCACTGCCACACAAGCTTCGAGATTCCAGCAACAACCTTCTAGAATCTTCTCTACTGTTACAAAAATAAAATAATTTTTTTGAAATTTTCCAAAGCTGCTGACAACTCAACCATCTCCCATGCCTCCTAATCATTTAAGTTCCTCCAAAAACCAAAGTCCCAGCCCATGCCTTCTAATCATTTAAGTTCCTCCTAAAACCAAAGTCCCAGCTCAAAGGAAAATTCGAGCTAACTGCCCTCCCTACAATAACCATAAATGAAATAATGACAAATTATAAAAGAGGAGAAGCTCTGCTGAAAGGTAGTTCCCCTGCCCAAACATCTACCCAAAATCTCACCTTCTCGCCATTTCTTACAACCAGCATGCAGTGATTTAAAAGATCTTCATATCCTTAACAAATATCCTTCAAAGGGTACTAGATCCCCTAGCCAATAGTTTTGCATCCCAAGCATGCTTCCTATAACCATATGCCATAAAGCTTCCTATAACCATATGCCACAAAGCTTCCTTTTCTACAGAGAAATGCCACAACCATTTACCAAACGTGACCTGTTTTTCAACAAAAAACCCAACACACACCCAAACCACCTTCTCCTTTGTTAAGGACACTACCTCCCATCTAATTAAGTCCTCTCTCTTTACTTCCCCAAGTCCAGCCCACAAAACATCCTTCATCATATTCTCCACCTTCCTAGCAACCCACTAGGAAGCTGCTTAGAACAGCTTGGATTCTTATTAACCAGCCTCCTATAGATAGAATGGCCACCCCCCGGCCCACCAACTCCCTCCAAAATCTCCTCTTAACCTTCTCTACCATCCTGTTCATAAAGCTAGCAGACCTCGTATTCCCACCAATGGTAAGCCCAAATACTTTAGAGCCCAATAGCCAACCTCCAGCCCTCAAAGAACCAGCTAACCTTTCCACTTTTACCTTCTAGAAATTAATTTCCAAATATAAATTCTGATCAACATACATCCTCTAAATATAATCACACTGGAAAACTTATCCCAGCAAACATTATTGGTCAAAGGACCAAAGAAATTGTTTCTGCTTTTAGATAATAGATAATAACCACAGTAATCTTGGTAGAAATTACAAAATAAAATAAGGACCCATGAGTTATAGCAGAAAGAATTTGGAGTACGGGCAGAAATTTAAAAAGCCACGTTAATCACATTATACAAGACATCAAGCAATTTGAGAGCAGAATAGCACATACTTGATCCTAATTTCTTTCAAAGTCAACAGGTATGTTCTAGCATCTGGGATATCTTGTGTTCGGCTTTGGATCGTGTGTTGGATGCGTTGAGATTCTGAGAACAGATCTGCCCTGCAGGACACAAAATGCATTACTGGCCACTTCAATAAAATTAAAACACTGAAATGCAGGTGGCATCTAATGGAGCAAAAACAGGAGAATGCATAAGCTCCCTACTCTACTGTGACATTAATGTTATCCATTTTTCTGAAGTCATTGTAACAGTAGAAGTTAAGAAAAGACATAAAAGGACTAACAAGATAAAAGGAGATCTACTGTAATATTACCATTTTTTGAAGTTAATTTACAAATGGCAAAACTATGTTATTCAATGATTGTAGCTAGTCCACAGACAGTCAAGTGCCAATCTCACATAGGGTGGTGAGTAGTGCTCCCCACCAATAACCAAGTTTCACGACAGAAATAAACTAATGCAAGTTAACCCTCGGAAAAAAAAGCTTCAATTTAATAGGTGCAAAATATAATTTCTCTTTGCAAGGCTGAACATGTGGCAAACCACGAAAATCTAAAAAGCCCTCTTTTTCTTTTTGTTTGACAGTGTAAGTTTTCTCCCTGATCAATTTGTTCTTCTTTTCAAAGAACAATATACTATAGTTCAAGTTCCTTCCCAGATTGTTGATCGAGAATATTGGTTGTCAATATCCCTACTCCCTTCTCATCCCCTCCCTACTAATTTCCTTAATTGCACTACCTACCACTCCTCCTTTCCTCTGTACTGAAGCATTATATCATGTATAAACTATACAAAAATAATAATAATAATAATTAATCAAGATAATGTACACTCTAGAAACATAACAATGTCATCTCTTGTGTTTATGTGTTTGTCACAAATAATTTAAAAGTTTACTACATATGCAAACAAATAGGCACATCTGCACAAATGCACAAAACAACAAAGCAATCATATTATTAGAAGGAATAGACTATGGTAAAGGGTTAAAGGAACTGACTTCTGTCTTATAGTTTTCATGACGTTGGCATACTGAGAAACAGCGGCTGGATCCTCTGGGTCTATGGTGATCTTCTCTTTGCGAAGTATTCCAAGGGCTGTCTCAAACTTCTTTTTAACATCCAAGAAGATGTTCTTCAGCATCTCTTTACCCCTCAAACATAAGAAATATTCAGTGCGGTTTTATCACAGATATGTATTAATAAATTTAAAAAAAAAAACACATTCAACTAGAATTTTATTTCTTACTCAACATTAAGGAGGGAAAAATGTAAATAAGGTCAACAATGGATAGCCAGTCACCATAAATACATCCTATCTAAAAGACACACACAAATGCAAGAGACCAACTTTGGAACCCAGGATTGTATAACATTCCCAGGTTCAGATCACTCTAAACTGTGAAAATCACAAAGCAATCCATATTTCTCAAAGTTGATATTTTTGGCAAGCTCGCAAATCACAATCAATAGCGTAAACTTAAATAGGGCCAAGATTTTCGACTCACCATCACCCTTTAGCACAGGGCGATTTGCTTCCTTAGCAAAGTAACGGACTGGAATAACACGCTCCTGTTGAAGAATGACTCCATTGCCACACAACTGAAACATTGTAAGCAAAATTAATACAAACGTTAATCAATTCCAAGCCTTCATTTATCCCAAGCCCAAAAGCTTTTTACACATCCATCATTACTCGGATCAAAAATAAATAAAACCAAGTGAAAAACAATTTCTAATCACCCAAATCAGATTAAAATAGCCCAAATTATGCAATTTAATCGCCGTGAACGTTCAGAAAATCAAAAAATAAATCGTAATCTGAAATGCCTAATTTTTCTCAAACATTTTGTCAGAAACTAAGAACAAAAGAAGATGAATGAGAAATGGGATCGATTGACTGACCTGTCTGGATTTGGATAAGAGGCGGGAAGAGAAGGCCATATCGGAGCTCAGTCTTCCTCTTCTTCTTCTTCGGGTTTCGGTTTTAGGGTTTGGATTTGATTGCTTTGAGGCCTCTACCTGACTTCTGATAGACAGTGAGAGAGACGATGAGTTCGTCTGCCTTATATGCGGACCGTTGGATCCTCTACGATGTCGTTTTTATTGTCTCTTTTTTTGACTCAGCCACTGTGAATTAACCTGAAGACGTTTTCGACCAAAAAATACCTGAAGACATAGTTGTTTACATTTACCAAAATGCCACTGAGTTCCTCTGTTTTCAATTTTTTAATTTTTTAATTTTTAATATGGTATTGGGCTCGTTTATATTGTTTTGTTAAACCATTGCTAGAAAGGGAACCAAAAAAAAAAAAAAACCAGTGGAACAAAATCACAGTTGAAGGGAGAAAAACTACGTCGCGCATATGTTATGTGTGTATAAAATTGATGAAAGCACCCCTAATAAAAACAAACTTAAATTATTTGATGACCGCAACATAAATGATATTGATATGCATCTTCTATAAAGTGAATTTGGTACTAGCATAAAAATTACTTCAATATCGTCATGGGCAGATATATCTTTGTCCTCGTTCATTTGTATCCCCTTACAAGAATAAGAGTATCAACTCAATCCTACAATCTCTCATTATTCTCTAGCTTCGATCAATGTTGATAATTGATTGTGAATTACACACTTGAAAAACTGTTTGCCCAGTCAAATATCATCATGGTTGACATCCCCTCCCCTCCATTTGTCCCAACCACGGGATGGCAATTTTCCAAGTGAATTAGGATTTTCGTGAGCATTTGCTCCTAATGGATTGATTATGAAAGATAGAAATCGGAAATGAAAATAGGTTCGGAAAAGTTCTCATGTATAGTATTCAGGGCATAAAATGGATAGTACTGTAATTCCAAAATCAAAACCTGCCTTGTTTTAAATATATATTATTTATTTTTCACATCAATACATTGTTAAGTGGCTCTTAGATGTTCCCCACGACTCCCACCAAATTTTATATTCCACAATATCATATTAGATTTTGACTTGAATAATATATATATCTATATATATAAAGCAAAAGACAGAAAATGGTGAAACATTCAAAATACCAAAAAATGCCCTTAGTTAATGCAAACATTAAAAATTGAAATTATTAATTAAATGAGGATAATATGGTAAATTTACACTTTTTCATATTAAAAAAATTTAAAATTAAAAGAAAAATCAGATAATGGATCCTCTTTTTATGGAACACAACTAAATATTATCTGTTTTAATTCTAAAATAAATTTAATTTTTTTTTTTAAAAGCCTCTCGCAGGCGCGGAAGCGCATGCAAAAGGCTAGTATGTATATAAGTAAAAAGGGTGCTTGTTTGTTTCCTAGTCCAATAGTTTTTAACTTTTATTTCTTTTGTTCAAAAATTAATTTTATATTGATATTTTCGTAATGGGGCGGTCAGAAGTTTCCTAATGAAGACGTGGATAAGAAATCCCATATTTGAATATTACATATATGAATGGAGGGATGAAAAAAGTTGACAGGAATTTGGATAGAAATGGCATACCCGGCCCCCATTCACCCCGTTACAAACAAGAAAGATTCAGAGCTTGTCTGAACTTTTTTTCTTTTTTGGCTAGTGATCAGGTGCAGTTGTTGTTGGAACTGGCGATCATGACTTGAGCAAAGGAGGTACGATTGAAGGATCATGACCAAAACGAATCGAAGAAACATACAAAACAATAAATACAAATAATAATAGCAGCAGCAACAAAAGCAAGGCTGGAACAGGGTTATTGGGACGAAGTAAAATTAGAAATTCTGGTGGCAGATATGCAGCAATGCAATATATGTTAATACTGGTCCTTTAAGAACACATCTGAAACATGAAATGGATGACTAACATAATGCAAAGTTTTCTTAATTGTATCATATTCATTGTATTTACATGTTCCATATACACAATCCTACATCTCCGCGGCAAAAGATTTACCGCAACCACATGTTTGTGTGGCATTCGGGTTCTTGAAAGAAAAGCCTCCACCGATAAGAGCGTCACTGTAGTCCAATTGCATGCCATACAAGAAGAGGAGGCTCTTCGGATCACAAACTGCAACACAAAGGGAAACACGAGTTTCTTATCCTTGCCAAGTATAATACAAAGTTATTGGGAAAGATCCAAACAAAGCAAGTGCCATATAGCGTGACAAAATGGTATTAGTACATTCTATCACTTGGATAGGTACATCAATGAAATGGTCAAGAAGAGAACATTAACTCTGGTATCTTCAGACTATCTTGAACTGCACAAGCAACATCACACGACCCTTCGAAGTCATAAGACCAAGTATATACTACAAAAATTTTCTTCCATACAATCACATAGTAACTAGATCTTATTTAATTTAAAGTCTGAAGGCCCATTCCAACATGACATATTATACAAAAACCCTTATAGAAAACCCCAAAACTAGCCACTTGTCACTTTCTAATTGGTTCTTATAAAATTTTAACACACTAAGAACCAATTAGAAAAATGAAAAGTTGCTAGTTTTGGGTTTTTCTCTCCAAATAGGCTCTATATGGGCTTTTGTATAATATGTCATGCTATAATGGGTTTTTGAATAAATATCCTTTTATTAAATAGCACCGAAGCTGATAATATTGTAGCACAGCAGTAAAGGGATTGGAAGGGGTTCCATGGGTTAATAGGGCAGAGCTCTCATTTTACTGTTATAAAAGGAAAATATGGTGCGCAAGATAATGGATGGGATGGGAAGAGAGACATAAGATATGATGATCCAATAGAAGCTTTTGGAAAGACACCTATGAAGATTTTTCAGTGTGCTGTCAGTTAGTAGTGGGAAATGGGGAGAGGATGAGATTTTGGGAAGACAAATGGGCGGGTGGGAACACACTACAATTTCTATCTCCAAGACTGTTTCGTCTATCAAGTTTCTACGGAGTACATCATGCAAAGATGGCTGAAAGCTCTTCTTTCCCAATGAGCTGGTAGAACTCTCTTCTGTGCTACTCTTATCCAAGGGGTGCCGTAGGCCTGGTTCTAGGGGGTTGGAAATTAGAAAGCCAATTACTTTTTCTTGTAAGTCTTACTTTAAGTTTCTATTTTACAAGGACTTCACTGCTTTTGATCCAGTGGGGTTGATGTGGGAAGCAAAGACTCCACCAAAGGTCAAGGTGTTGGAATGGATAGCTGCTCATGCTAAATTGATAAAATCTGATGTGCTTCTAAGGAAATTACCAGCAGCAGTGTATGCATCTCATTAGAGATGCATCATGCGCAGGAGAAGGGGGAAAGTGGCACATATTTCTTCACTGTTCAGTTGCCTTAAATTTGTGGTGGATATTATTTCAAAAAGCTAAGGAGAGATGGGTCCATAGAACTGTCCCATTGTTATGCGAAGGATTATGGAAGTAGCCAGCAGGCAAAAGTCCTTTGGGCTTGCAGTGTGCTGGCTGTCATCTGGGTTACTTAGGTGGAAAGGATGAGAAGAATTTCTGAAGACAGACCTGTTGAAGCTGAGGAATTATGGGACACGGTTACATTTTGGTCCTCTGTATGGGCATCTGTTTCAACTGACTTCAGGGGTGTTTCTCTGTCCAATATTCTTCTAGATAGGATCATATGAGGGTGTTAAATCTTTTCAGCAGGTTATTTTTGTTAGGTAGGATTCACACTATATTTTCTTTTGTTGTTTGTGGTGGACTCCTTGTCCATGTGCTTGAATAATTGCTCATGAAAACACTACTGTATCAAGTGTATAGAAGCAGTTAAGAACAGGGATAATTTGTTCTCAAAAGGTTCTAAAGACAATCGTCAAACATTTACTTTTCTATGAAAGAAAGAAAGACTGACTCTAGCGCAGTTTAACATATGCATGAAAATGCTTTAACATGCACCTTCACTCAAATGGAAATCAATGAAAGTGGGAACTAGTGCAGTCATTACAATAACTATGACAAGTAGCATATCAGTTATTTGTCACAAGGAGCACATCGTCACATGACTAAGAGAATGACAAATTAAAGGCTTACCCATAACAAAACCATTATATTCAATGACGGAATCATCTGGCCTTGCGTTGGCCCTACTCTCAAAGTCCATTGTATAAGACATGCCAGAGCACCCACCCTGTTTGACACCAATTCTCAAGCATAAGTCTTCACCACGTTCAGATCTCATCTTATTGAAGTGCTTCAATGCATTATCCGTAAGTGAAATTGCAGGTGCAAGCCCCTCAGTTTTCGGTGCAGCTGAAACATAGAAGCATCTTAGCATCAGCATAGTCAGTCTCATAAACAATAAGAAATTCATGAAACACTTAATTACTATGTGGAATGCATTTCTCAACAAATCTCATGACAAGTTTATGGTTAAAAAATCTGTTGAAATGAACCTGGCCCAACCTCATGATGTCTAGTCGCCGCATTTACCCAAATACCAAACTTTTTTCTTTTCAATAATTCTATGTCTTGCCTGTGAAAGTCACATAACTTTCTTCAAAACAAAAACAATCACGTAACTTGCATATATTACCATCAAATTCAGCAGCAAGCCCACAGAACCATGAATTCGGATATCACAAGCAAACTATATTTTACATCCAAAATTGAAGCAGCTATTATTTGTACTGTACAACATATTCAATTTAATTGAACAGGAAAAAAATAATAACCATTTCTAGCCTACACATACATTTTCCACATACAGAATTCAAATTCAAGCAAACCATATCAAATCAAACCCCAAAATGTACCAAATTAAACATTAAAAAATAATAATTAAAGGAGTCTTAATATCCCAATTATTAATTGAATAATAATAATTAATGGAGAAAAACAAGCAAAGACCAATTAACAGCTAAAAATGTAAGCTATTACATATGTTCTAACAGGCAAAGTAAATATTTTAAATTAGTTCATTAAAATATAAAAACAAAATTGAGGAACAAGAAGAAAATAAAATACCCGAAGTTGAAGTTGATCGAATTAAAAGGGGTTTTCTACGGCTGAGATTATTCTTTGAAAATCGAAACGAAATTGAATTAGGAGGTGAAGAGGTTACAGGGAGGTTCGTCGGCAGACGAAGAAGAGAGGGGCAGTGCGTAGTAATTGCAGAGAACGCCATCGCAGAGAACCTTCTCTGGTTTCCCTTTTTCTTCGTAGAAATGATTAAATGAGAAATTTTGTATTTGTGTGATTCAGGTAAGCCCATTTAGGTGGGGACATTTTCATCAGAAAGATCCTCGCCGTCCAAATCTCTGATGGTCTGCGTTAAGTGTTACATGCGTGTTGTGTAGAGAGATCGGACGGTCAAGGTAGAATCTCCCTTTTTTTTCTTTGTCATTAATTGTTTTTTTTTTCTAATTATTTTAGAAGTTGCATATACTGTATTATTTTTAACGGTTTTCTGTGGCCAACAATAATACTCTCTCCCTCTTCGTTTGTTGATGAGTTTTGTCTCCCAAAAATGTTGCATTTTTGCCGATGAGGTCTAGCACAATGAAAAAGAGCACTGGATTGTAAATTAGTGGTAGCGTGCATAGCCTTTTAAACTATCTGTTTGTTTGTGCCTAAATAAATCTCGTCCGAAGGAACTTCCTCTCGGCCCTAGCACCTACCCTCGGCCGAAAGTTACGAGTCATTGTTCGTCCTCTTTTGGAAACAAAAGTAAGTTGGCACGACAAGGTCATCACAGCCTCGGTAATACTAGCCGAGGACAAGCTCCTCCGATACACAGCCAAA